AGTCTTAGTCTTGGAAGGGGGTTTGCACTGAGGGGACCGAACCCCTTGTCTTGATGTTTCCTGGGCAAGCATGTTGCTTGCTGAACAGTATGTTGTCCACAGTGGTGCCCTTGATTGCCTGGTGCCTGTGTTACTGCTGGGAAGCCACGGGCAAGGCAGTAATTTCCTCAGACACCATCCGCTCCTCCCCCATATCCCCATCCCCAGATACTAATGCATTGGCAAGCTGGGTGAGCAGTTGTTGGACAGTGAGAATGCAGGCGCCTAGCAGGAGCCCGAGCCTGATGGTGAGATCTTGAATGGGGGGTAGCTGGTGGTTGTGCCTGCCCAGCAGGGCCTGCTGAAATCCTTCTCTCAGCATGCCCATCAGTACCTCATGGAATTGTTTTCAAATTAAACAGAATGGACCAATTTGTCAGTAACATATTCAGAGCACCACTGAGCAGAGGAGGGCACTTGGGAACCCTGAATTTTCCACCTCTGCCAGGTCTCCCTTCCCAGTAAGAGTGAGCAACCCTGACCCACACAGTTTGGGGAACTGGATTGGCACCTAATTCGTTTTGCCTTCATCTTGGGCACTCCCACCAGCTAGGGCAGCGAACACAATGAAAGCAGAAAGAGCTCCTGTCACCTGTGACTTGGTATGATCTGCGCTGGTGAATTAAGGGGAGATTTTGTTGTTGTTGTTGTTAGGTGCCATCGAGTCACTTCCAACCCATAGAGACCCTCTATACAACAGAATGAACACCACTCAGCCCTGCGCCATCCTCGCCATGGCTAGTACACTTGAGCCCACTGTTGCCGCCACTGTGCCCGTTCTTCTCGTTAATGGTCTCCCTCACTTTCATTGTCCCTCCACTTTACCAAGCATGATGTCTTTCTCCAGGGACTGGTCCCTCCTGAATATGTTCAAAACATGAGATAAAAAGTCCAGCCATCCTGGTTTCTAAGGAGCATTCTAATTGTACTTACTGCAAAACAGATTTGTTTGTTCTTCTGGCATTTCATGGTACTCCTAAAGTATCTAGTACCAGTACCTGTTGCAGTCATGTTGATTGCAACTCATGGTGACCCCATTGTGTCAGAGTAGCATTGTGCTCCATAGGATTAGGGAGTATATTGCCAGGCCTTTGTTCAGAGGTACCTCTGATTGTACTCAAACCTACAACTCAGCTTGTTCGGAACCAGGAACTCCTGAAAGTATGCTGCTGTTTGCCTCAGGGTGGTCTTTCCACCTAGCTTTAACCACTCTGTTAGCTAAGGTCTACCATTTGTCTTCAGAGGGAATAAGCAGAGATTGCTTTTCCCTTTCCATTAGGTGCTTCCAGAGGGAGAGAAGAAATTTGTGCTCTGGAAAAACCTGGAACTGAAACTTTCCCAGGGAACCATCTGGGCTCACTCAGCCCCTCCCCCTTAGGAAAGACTTCCTTAGGAGAATTCCAGATATCCTGCCTTTCTCCCACCCAGAGGAGAGCTCAAAAGTACCCAAAACTGGTGCTGACCTGATTAAGCAAAAGAAGGAATTCATTTATCAAAAGGGTACTGGGCGCAGTGCAATAGTCACATGGAGGGGATTGCAGTCATGGAGATGATGTGTATGATGTGTTGAATGTGAAACTGATGGTCTGCTCTGTAAACCGCCACTCAACTCCCAATAAAATGATGTTTCAAAATCGGGGAGGGTATTTGGGAGGACAAGAGACCAGCATGATGCAAACTTCCAGGAATGAAACCCAAAACCCTGCTGCAGAAGGAACCTTCGGCTACATCAGAAGTCCAACCTGCAGCCACAAGCCTTTGCCACCACCTTTATCGATACCAGTGTCCCTGATTTGTGAACTCCACACGGCAGTTCTGTACCCTAGCTCTAAAGCAAGTTTTCTAGTTTCTATTTTGGAAAAGCAGGACTCAAAGTAGAGAACTTTTCAAGCATTAGAACCTATGTCCAACAATAGTCAAAACACATAGGAAATACCTACTTTTGCACTCTCCCTGAGCTAATACCATCTCTCCAACCTCAATCCCCTCTTAATAGAACTAGATCCTGGATAAAACTGGCCCTGGGGCCCTGTGGTCAGTCTTGGCCTGATTCATTCTGCAGATGCATCAGCTGTGAGACAGGCGAAAGGACATTAAAATGGGCTCTCCCTGGAGAGAGTTATGGGGAAAGGTAACCAGAGATGACTAGGGGAGGAATACCATTGGAGGATATGGGAGAATTTCAGAAGTTCCTTGACTCATAAAATGTTGAAACTGGGAAGGCTTGGGGAGTATCTAGTCAGGGTCATAGGATCCGGGCTAATGTGCTGGTCAGTAAGGTCAGTTTGAACCACAAGGTCGGCAGTTAAAGCTCACCAGCCGCTCCTCTCGAAAACCCTATACAGGGTCACTATGAGTCAGAACCGACTGGAAGGCACTAAACAACAGGAAGTCAGGGTGACAAACACTAGTGCCTAGAGGGTAGAGGACAATAGGGGTCTGTGAAGAACGCCACCTGTAGGCACTGAAAGTCATTTAAAACGTGACGAAAGGAAGTTGTTGGGGAGTGGTGGTGGGGGTTAGTGGGATTGATTGAAAGTTGTTGTTGTTGTTGTTAATTGCCATCGAGTCGGGTCCGACCCATAGCGACCCTGTACAGGGTTTCCGAGGGTGTAAATCTTTACGGGAGTAGAAAGCCTCATCTTTCTCCCGCAGAGCGACTGGTAGTAGCAGGAGGGAATTTATGGTGGAGGGGGCATACTCTGTGTCTTGCTTTGAGTGGTTCTACTCAAAGTGGTTCTCATTTCATTACATAAGCCATCAAATGCACACTAATCTGATCATTTTATTGTGTATTAATTATGCCACTTTTTTATATGGACAAGTTATAAAAAGTGACTTTGTTCTTGGACTACCCATTTGGAAACTTCTATTTCAGTCCACTTTCCTTCTGTTAGATATTAGGAATCGAAGACCCAGAAAGGAGAACTGGTTTTCTCAAGAGCACAGGTGAATTATGACCCGCCCCCCGCCCCCCCCCCGCCCCCTCAGGAGGTGCGCGCTGTGGCGCTGTGGGTTAATGTGTTGGCCTGCAAAGTCGCTTTGAACCGCAAGGTCGACAGTTCAAGCTCACCAGCCGCTCCTCGGAAACCCTATACAGGGTCGCTATGAGTCGGAACCAAAACAACAGCAAAGGTGCGCCTGCGGTTCTGGAAAAGTGGCGGAACTGCAGCGTGGACTAGTGGGCGGTGCATGCTAGTGCGCAAACTTCAACGTTTGGCTTTTGGAGTTGTGTCCGGCCATTCCCTAACTAACCTAGCATTTCCATCAACTGCGAATGGGCAGCTCACCAGGGACTGGGCAGACAACTACCCGGGCGGGAAAGTGAGATGGCCACCAAGCGCCTATCCGGAGCGGGAGGAGGTGGGTGGAGCGCCCTGCCCTAGGGAGTGCGAGCCAAGTACGAAGATAAATCACAGCTCAGTATTGATACTGTGAGCCAAATTCCTACGCCTACAACTAGGTTAGAGGAAAGGAAATCCGATCTGGCAGACGCAGCAGCAGTGAAAAATGAAACCCACCTGAGGGAAGGGGTGGGAGGCGCGATTGCGCGGGCACTTCAGGCACTTAGGGAAATTCTTACATTACAACTGTCCTACTCTTTGGATACCGTGACCAAAACACCCAAACCCGTTCTGGTAGCGTCCATTCCAGAGTAGAAGCAGCTGCAGAGGGTTTTCTGGGATGTAGTCTTTAAGGAAGCATATCTCCAGGCCTTTCTTCCACGGTGCCGCTGGGTGAGTTCGACCACCTGGTGTGGCACTGTGGGTTTAATGAGCCAGACTGCAAAGCCGTTTGAACTGCAAGTTCGGCAGTTCAAGCTCACCAGCCACTCCTCGGAAACCCTATATAGGGTTGCTATGGGTCGGAACCGACTCAATGGCACTTAACAACAACAGTCCAGTGTAAGGAGTCCTGGTGTGGTCAGCGTTTCAAACCTAACAGCCGCCCCTCGGGAACCCTATGGTGGTGGTTATGTGCAGTGGAGTTGGTTCCGACTCATAGCGACCTTGTAAAGGGTTTCTGAGGCTGTAAATCTTTCCAGGAGCAGAAAGCCTCATCTTTCTCCCGCGGAGCAGCTGGTAGTTTCGAACTGCTGACCCTGAGGTTAGCAGCCCGATTTGTAACCACTACACTACCAGAGCGCCTTTGGAAACCCTATAATACAGGGTCACTATGAGTGGGAACCTACTCGACGGCACTTAACAGTTCAGTGCAAACCATTTTCACCACCAGGGACCCTTAGATGAGGTATACGTATTTCCATTTTTACAAGTGAGTAAATCAAGGTTCACCGCAGTTGACAGAGTAGAGTAGGAATTCCAATCTGGTTATCTCCTTTCTCCTTCCTCTCTATCTGCAGGAGTGAGTACAAGCACATTACAGAACAATTGCTCCAGTTTAGCTGTAGGTACTACACAGGAGCTCGCTGGGCACTGGGGCGGGGGCTGAGCAGTGTGTCCTTATTCTAATCCTGGGCTAAGCAGGCTGTCCGCCGCTAGGTAATGCGGGCGCGGGAGTCCTGCCCTCCAGTAGGCACCCGTTCTGATTGGCGCGCCCGGCAGGCCTCCAGCCAGGCTCGCCTGCCCCTCCCAGCCAATCCGGGGCACTAGAATTGGGCTGTAGCGGGAGAGTGGGGGTGCGCGGCCAGCCGGAGGCCGAGTCGCCTTTCCCGCGAGTTCCCGCCGGGTGACCGCCATCCGGAGCCGGGATCCTCAGTCTGAGCACCGTGCGCAACCCCTTCGCACCACGCTCGGAGCCCGCGCGCTTTAATGCCGCGCCTGCGATCAGGGCAGCTCCTGGTCTCTGCTCGCTGAGCCGCGCCTCGACGGCATCCGGAGCCTCCAGCGACGCGACCACCCCACAGCCTCCAAACCGCACCCGCTCCCCGAGCCTCACATCCGACTCTGGCCGCAGTCCGCGCTCTTCCGGAGGCGCCAAGTCCTGGAAAGTGCGTGGGCCGGGCCAGGGGAGTCCAGCGAAGGCAGGATGTTCACATCCAAGTCCAACTCGGTGTCACCTTCGCCATCCATGGAACAGGCCGACTCGGACGCGCTGGACATCAGCACCAAGGTGCAGCTCTATGGTGTGCTGTGGAAGCGGCCCTTCGGAAGGCCATCAGCCAAATGGTCCCGGCGGTAAGTGTGCCCCCACCCCGCGCCCAGGCCTGAGGACCCTCCTCCATCCGGAGTCCTCCCTGCCCCCCCTTCTGCCTCTACCTTCCTTTATGACCTTGGCCTCGCCCCATTTCACTTTAAGCTGGTTCCTCCTGGAATATGTGAACCCTGCTCAGCTCAGACAGCTGGTCTGGGACCATTGGGCTCTGTGTGTGTGTGTACGTGTGCAGTGGACCTTACTTGCAATTGGAAAGGTTGGGATTTGGCAGAAAAGCAAACTGTCAGAGAGGGAGAAGTTCTATCTCCAGGCACAGATACCCACCTTGGGTCCCGCACTACCAATGTCCTCTTTATACGCTCTTTTCCAAAGCCACCAGGTCACCAGAGGACACACTTGGTTGGGGAGCAGGCTTAGAGGTGGAAGAGAGGTGTCTTATCTTGCTCCCCTATTCCATCCTTCTGTATGCACGTATACCTGGTGGGAACTACCCACCTGCCCTTCTGAAAGACTCTGGCCAGTGGGGAGGGCAGAAATAGCCTTAGGAGTGCCCTTGGAGGAGTGCTGCTTTGCCACACCTTCTGCTGTCCCCTGAAATGAAAAATGAGAAAAAGATTCCTAGTGTTTGTGGAGAAGGAGGACCCTGGAAGAGGGGGAGGGAGCAAAGACGAGGGGAGCAGGGGAGGGCGCAGTCCTTTGAGGGAGTGGCCTGGAGTGCCAGAACAGCCCCGGTCCCTTTTGTTTCCCCATTACCTTCCTGGCCCCCAACTCAAAGGCGACTGACTCCCAAGACTTCAGGAGCCATCTTGGGCTTATAGATAGGTTTGTAAGATATTGGGCAAGAGAGTAGCTCACAGCCTTAAGCTTTCCTCCTGGGATGTTCTAGAAATCTCAGACTTGTTTGGGCCCCTCCCTCTAGGTGTGGCCTGCTGGGAAAGGCCAGTTGGTCCAGATGATCCTTGGGCCTCATCCTCATCTCACACCATGAATCTTGCCCTGAATGAAGGAGATTGCAAATGTTTCCAGAACCATATATCACATCAACAGTGGTCATGGTTGGCTGTGATGCTTTCTATTTTGAGGAATAATTTAATATTCTCTAAGACTGCAGGACAAATGGAACTGTGTGTGATGCTGTACATTTTCAATAGTTGGTTTCACATACTTCAGTTTTTTAAAAATCTTGCCATTGTTGAAAATATACACAGCAGAACACACCCTTTTTCAGTTGTTGTTGTTAGGTGCCATCGAGGAGGTACCGACTCATAGCAACCCTATGCACAACAGAACAAAACACTGCCCTGGACTAAACTCACAATTGTTGCCACACTTGAGCCCATTGATGCTGCCACTCTGCTAATCCATCTAGCTAGTAGTCTTCTGCTTTTTCTCCAACCCTCCACTTTACCAAACATGATATCCCTCTCCATTGACTGGTCCCTCCAGACAATATGTCTGAAGTATGAGAGACAAAGTTTGTCCATCCTGGCCTCCAAGGAGAATTCTGGCTGCACTTCTTCCAACACAGATCTGTTTGTTCTTTTGGCAGCCCATGGTGTTTTCAATATTCTCCTCCAACACCATAACTCAAATGCATCAATTCTTCTATGATCTTCTTTATTCACTGTCCAACATTCACATACATATGAGGTTATTGAAAATACCATGGCTTGGGTCAGGCATTCCTTAGTCCTCAAACTGACACCTTTGCTCTTCAACACTTTCAAAAGGTCTTGTGCAGCAGATTTGCCTAATGCAATCCATCATTTGATTTCTTGGCTGCTGCTTCCTTGAATGTGGATGGTTGCTCCAAGAAAAATGAAATCTTTAACAACTTCAATCTTTTCTCCATTGTTAAGAGTGTTGTTTATTGGTCTAGTGGTGAGGATTTTTGTTTTCTTTACATTGAGATGCAATCCAAACTTCACCAGTAAGTTTTTTTTCTTTTTCTTAATGTTTTATTGTGAATTATGTGATAGTTTACATGGGAGAACATTAGCATTCATTCTATGGTATATATATATATATATCGTTTCATTGCCATGGTTACAATCCCCTCCATGTATCATCAACCAACCAAAGTGTATACCCTGCAAGCCTGCCCCCTGGTGGTCAGCACACAGCCCCTCTCCCTCTCTGGGTCTAAAGTCCCCAGCCGCTCCCTCTCTCCACATCATCATCTCTGCCTCCATCTCTGGTGTCACTGCTTCTCTGGGTAGAGTCCCGCTCTCCGCTCTTCTTGCTTGATGGTCCCAGGGACCTCTGCTCCTAGACTGCAAAGTCAATCACTCCCCTCCTTTTACTACAAAACATCTACCTTTACATTTTCAACCCTCACAATCAGTCCTGATAACAATTATTCACCATTGTATCACAAGAGACCTATCCGCATCGCCGTTCATCAGCCCCGCCTAGACAGAATGGATAGTACTCAAAGGAGATTCTACCTTCCTCTGTGCCCTCTAGATCTAGGCTCCTTCTTGAAAGCTTGTAAGCGAGTCACTTTTTGCCTTTGGAGCCCCCCATTTTGGGTAGCCAGTGTCCAAGTTGCCCATCCCTGTCTACTCTGTGTATGGAGGGGGTGGGAATGATCCTCGCTGTAAAGATTTGTTCCTTCTTTTGAGCTACTGCGTCTGTAGGTATAGATCAAGTTCATCAAATTGTATCAGATTACTCTTTTTTTTTTCCCCTGTTCTTTCTTCTTCTAGTTGAGCTCTGATTAGCTAGTCATTGAAGCCAGGTAAAGTGGGTATTATCTGCATATGCCCTCACTTCTTATAAGCTGGACGCTTCACTCTCCACTCTAGTCCTTTGTGGCTATGTCACTGACTCTGGGCCCAAGAGACCCCAGGTCTTGCCACATTGCAGGCCAACCAGGTCTCCACCTGGGTTCACAGGAGTCTATTGAATGTTGTAGGGCTTAGCTCGCAGCATTATTGCTGTTTTCCCTCACTTTCCATTATCAGTGATGAATGTGGTCACCAATCAGAGTGTGTATTTCCATTGAGTCTTAGTCTTGGAAGGGGGTTTGCCCTGAGGGGACCTGAACACTTGCCTTGATGTCTCCTGGGCAAGAACATGTAGTAATCAGTCAGACTGCCTATATTGTTTTGTTTTTTTAATTTAAGGTTTTTATTGTGGATTGAGTGAAAGTTTATAGGGCACATCATCAGTTTCACATTCAACAATTCATATAACTTGTT